TACCATTTAATCCTAGTTTTATGAATGGCAAATATGATAGGGAAGTCGCTTTCGAGTTCAGACTATGTATATAGAGTAGGTCCTAATGAATTTTGAATATTCTGAAAAGAGTTCGGGCTTTTAGGTTATTGTTGCTGAGATGCTTCATTCTTAAATTCTTTTGTTAATATAATGCTGTAGTTATCCTCAGGAATATAAGGAAACACTTATTCTTGATGTTGAACTTGAAGCTTTACATAGAGATATACCTTAACGAAAATAATTTATTATGAAAGTTTCAAATCTTTTCATGATTTCGATCATAAGATACAACTATGGTAAAAGCTTATCTTTTATATTGATTATTATACATCGATAGATTCAATGTTCTTATTTCGAGATAGAAGCAAACCAAAATACTTGAAACGTTTACAATAAACTATTCTCGTTAAGATCTGTTTGTATACAAAGCTTCAAGTTGAAATTCAAAAATAAGTTTTCCGGAGAAGGACCACGGCATTCATTTAAACAATACTCTCAACAAATGGAGTAGCTCGGTAGCAATTTTCTAAGAATTCGAATTCTTTTTCAGATTATTCATAGTTCATTAGAACCTACATGATGAACACACTTTCAACTCAAAAGAGATTGAACAGTTGATCAATTTACCTCGTTAGTTCTGCTGCGGGAAAAATTATCTCTTCTCGTATCCTTCAGGTGTGCGTCATGATTTATGATACCTATTCTTTCGCATCTATTGTAATATATTATAATAAACATGTTTCATCAAGAATGCACATTAACAGTACATAAGAATTTCACATATTGAAAGATAAGTCGTTAAAATTCATCATTTACAACACTTTTTTTATTTTAATAAAAAAAAATACGTAACTATAAAACTCAAGAATCTATCAAAAAACAACTAATTCTGAAGTTTTATTTCTCTTATTTATTTTCAATAAGATGACCTGGTACATCATCATCAATGACATCTTCTTTAATAGTGATTTTTGATGTATTTGTTTGATCATTTTCATCTTGATTATCTTGGATTGTTTCTTCATCATCAGTTTTCATTTTCTTCATTGTTATTATTATTATCGTCATCATCATCATATTCTTTTTCATCATTTCTATTTGCTTTTTCTTTGGATGTGTTAGCTTCACCATTAATTTGTTCATCATCTTCATCATCATCATCATCTTTTTCAGCTAATTCTTGTTATTCATCTTTATCATTTGAATCATTAATTGTTATCTTATCACGAATATGGGCTGATCTTAAAAGAGCACTTGTTGTTAATTCTTTACGTTTTTTATTTATTGAACGACATAAACGTGAAATAAAATATGTTTCAAATGAACATATAATTTCATTTAATTGTTTTTTTTCCATATTTTTCATCAAAATAAAATTCAATTTTATATGTATGTTTATGATCATTTAATTTTAATGAAAGTTTTTTATGAATATTTAAAGTTTTTAATACTTGAGAAAATAAAAGACGAGACCAACGACGTTGTAAACGTTTTGCTTTACCTAATGCTGATGAACTATGTAAAATAGGTACTTCCATTGTTGGTGTTTTTACCTTTTGAGAAGCAACCATAAGTAATTGACGAAGACGTGGAACACCTAATGTTACATTCATTTCACCACGACCAGCAAAATGAAAACCTTAAAAAGAGAAAAATTTGTCACATAGAATTGTTATTGATTGTTAAAAATAAAGAAAAATAGTGAAGAAATTTGATATCTCCGGTCTAGTTTAAAGCACATGAAATTTTTCGAATATTAATTCGTTTTCAAATAGAAGATCGAATTTTCACATTTTTCTATTTTTTAGTGAAATTCAACTAGTGGTTTATAGAAAGAAGAATAGATTCTATTGAATTTCAAGAACCATATAATCTATCAGAATTGAATGAAATTAGACCATAAAAACAAATGGGAGCTAAGATTACATAGAAAAATGAAAAATGAAATCTAATCTACTCAAGTTCCGCTGGAATCTATTGAGCTCCGACAGATTCTTTGATTGCTGAAATTTAATAGGATTTGTCAAGATGCACATTTTCTTCTTTAATTTCAAGTCATAGTGGAATTCGTTGACTGATAATGTATTTGTTGGATTCTAATAGATCGTCATAGGTTTTCAATGAGCTTCAACGCGCTCGAATACATCTGTTCTAAGACTCTTGATTTATTTACTTTGATTCACATATAAATCGAAGTTATAAAATGAGATGTAACTCACATAAAACATGTTGTAGTTTCATATCGACTGACTGAGTTAATGTATTATTTATTCAACTTTCGACGATCTAATATTGGTACTATTCTCACTAACTTTTTGATAATAAATTCATTCGAAATTTAAATCTATAAATCATCCTATATCAAGTAGAAATTTTAAGTCTAATTCAATGCGTTTTCAAACTGTATTTATCTCGACAAAGCATAAAACCATCTTTATTATTTTCATTTTTTCTAGTTGACAAAAAAAAATCGAATTTAATTACAAATAACAAAAACTGTTGTTACTAATCACAGAGTGATTACTCGACATTATTAATATACGATCGGTGTTCATATTTTAACCTCTGTCACAATTTGTGTGGAAGTCTAAAATTTTTACTCCTATACATCAACATTCGTTTTAGATCATGTTTCAAAAAAAAAAAACAAAATTGTTCAAATATATAAAACTTATATTCGAAATCTAACTTACTATTCAATGTCATTTGTGTACTAGGTTCTCCAATAGATTGTGCAGCTAAAATTTCAACACTTTCACCTGGATCAATACATGATTTAAGTGATTTAAAATGAATCATTTTTTCAAATGTTCGTTTATCCATATTAGTTTGATCTAATTTTTCATGTGTTGTAATATAATTTCTTATTAAATCATCTAAACGTTCAGTAATAGCACCTAAATTTGATGCTGGTAAATAATTTTGTGTAACAGGTGAATAAAATTTGACAAGACTATAATTATATTGTTGACGTTTATCATCAGATAAATT